AGCCAAAGCACTTCTCCGGTTCAAAGCTGGGAGTGAAGGCAATGAGGAGAGGGGGGGAAAGGGGGGCTGGGTTGGGGGGCCACAGCTTTGCCCCCTCTCTGAGTCCAAAATCCTTGTGCAAAGCCCCCTGTCCTCCCTGGAGCATCCCGAGCACCCCCCAACAGGTATTTAGGGGGTGACATAGGCACAGGCAAAAGGAGAAACACACCCCCCCCCCGCAAAAAGGGGGAGATTTGCCCAAAAGCCACCCCGGAGCCTGGCTGAGGGGGTGCCATCTGGGTCACTGGTTGTCCCCCGGCTGGTACTGGGGCTCGGTGGCGGTGAAGTAGTCCTCGAGGAAGGACTGGAGGTACTCGAAGGTGGGACGCTCCTCGGGCTCCCGCTTCCAGCACTGCACCATCACCTCGTGCAGGGACGGGGGACAGTTGCCCGGGCACTGCATGCGGTAGCCTCGCTCCACCCGCTCCAGCACCTCCCGGTTGTTCATCCCTGCGTGACAAGGACCCGCCCCCGCTCAGCCACCAGTACCCCCACGGGACAAACCAGTGGGGAAAGTGAGGCACGACACGGGACGCAGCAGCATTGCCTTGTGGTTAGCTTAGCGCTGGGCTCTCTGCTGGGGAAACTGAGGCACAGCGCAAACCTTGCTGGTGGCAGGGCTGGGGAGGGTCCGCCCCTGCCCCGTTTGCCGCCCAGCTCACCCCAAGGGCGCCCGCTGCTCTGGTGGGGTCGTACCTGGGTAGGGCACCCGGCCTTTGGTCACCAGCTCGGTCAGGAGGACGCCGAAGGACCAGACGTCCGACTTGATGGTGAACTTCCCAAAAAGCGCGGCCTCCGGGGCCGTCCACTTGATGGGGAACTTGGCACCTGCAAGGGGAGGCAGGTGAGTTGTGGCCTGGGCACCCCGCTGCACCCACCCCTGGGGCACCCCACCCCTGGGACACCCAGTATTGGGGACACCCTGCACTAGGGGCATCTCGCACCCGAGGCACCCTGCACCTGGAGCACCCTGTACCGAGGGCGTCCTGCGCCCATGGCACCCTGCATGGCGACACCATGCACCGGGGACACCTGCATCCGAGTCATGCACGTGATGCACCCAGCTCTAGGGGGATGCACCCAGCTCTAGGGGTACCCAGCACCCAGGGCAACCTGCACTGGGGGCACCCCACACCTGGAGTACCCATCAACTGGGGTACCACCCATCAACTGGGGTACCACCCATCACTCGGGGTACCTATCACCCAGGCTACCCATCCCCTGGGGTTCCCATCCCCTGGAGTACCCATCCCCTGGAGTACCCATCCCCGGGGGTACCCATCACCCAGGACACCCACCACCCAGGGCACCCGGCATTGGGGGTGACCATCCCCGGGCCCAGGGTGGGAGGCAGGAGGGAGGGGACGGGGCAGCGGTCCCCACAGCAGCGGGGCACCAAGCCGGCTCACCCTGGCGCGCCGTGTACTCGTTGTCCTCGATGAGGCGAGCGAGGCCGAAGTCAGCGATCTTGCACACCAGGTTGTCGCCCACCAGGATGTTGGCAGCCCGGAGGTCCCGGTGGATGTAGTTCATCCGCTCGATGTAGGCCATGCCCGCCGCGATCTGGGTGGGGGGAAGCAGTGAGAACCCCCTGGATGCACCTCCTAGGGGGCTCCCTCACCCCGTGCCAGCCTCCCCGGTACCTGGGCAGCCATGTCCACCAGCTGGGGGAGCTTCAAGTAGCGGCCGGCCCCTTTAGGAAATCCAACAAGCTGCCTGCAGGCAGAGGGGGCGAGTCAAAGCGCCCGAGAACCAGCCGTGCCCACCCAAGGGTGCCCTCTCCTGCGAGCTCCCAGCCCTGCCCACCCCGGCCATGCCCAGGCAGGGGGGAGGTTTGCAGAAAAGCTGGGGGGGAAGAAAAGCTGAAGGTGGGGAGGGGGTCTGTTGGGTAGTGGCACCCGCTCACCCTGGCTCATGAACTCGGTGACGATGTAGATGGGCTCCTCGGACACCACGGCGTAGAGCTGCACCAGCTTGTCGTGCCGCAGCCGCTTCATGATCTGAGCCTCCTCCAGGAAGGCCTCGGGTGACATAGTGCCCGGCTTCAGCGTCTTCACCGCCACCTTCGTGGTGCCGTTCCACGTGCCTGGGCCCCGGGGGACATGGGGTCACGGCAAGCCCAAGGGACAGGCAGCCCCTGGGCAGGGCTGGGATGGATGGAGCGGTGCGTGGATGGAGGGGTGCGTGGATGGAGGGGTGCATGCTTGCACGGATGGATGGAGGGAGGGATGCATGGAGCAAGGACATCAGGGCAGGGCAAGGAAGGGACGTGATACCACCATACTCCACCCAGGAACAAGGAGTCCCCCTCACCCCATGGCATGGGGACAAGGCACCCGTGAGCTCTTCTAATCCCGACCTTACCCCACTCCCCAGTCCTCCATGGGGAAGCCTGTGCCAAGCTGCCATCTCCCCCACAGCGGCGGGTACCTCCTGGCACCCCGCGATGCTGCTTGCCAGGGCAGGACGGGACCGCTCCTGCCCCCCCACGCCCACCCCCCTGCCCTGGCCAGCTGGGCCAGCCTTACCCATCCACACGTCTCCGAAACATCCCATGCCGAGTTTCTTGTCGAGGCTGATGGATTCCCGCACTATCTCCCAGGCATCCTTAGCTAATCCCAAGGTCTGGGGCTTCATAGCAGGGCACGCCCGGGTTAGCAGATGGCACAACCCGTCGTTATTCTCTG